TATAAACACATATTCGACTGTTCATATTCAATTTGTTTATAGCTCTAATTAACAATAAAATATTTCATCTATAATTATTTTTATTATAATTTTATAATTATTTAATTATAATAAAAAATTATGTAAAAATTCACTATTTATAAATACAAATTTAATATAAAATTTTAATAAATCTCATATAATTTTAAATTATAATATAATAATTATAAATGATATACTCCGTCCTAATACAAGATTTTTCGTCATTCTCAGCCTAGCTAGTTACTCTATAGCTTCTCAAACAAACAATTAAAAAAACATCAACAATTGTAATTTGACTTGGCTTTCTTAATATTCTAATAAACATGCAAAGACCTAGGACCACATCTCCAAATAGAAAAAATATATAATAAACAATATAAGTGAACCATTTTCTTTCTTCCTGCAAAAGGAAAAAGAAAGTTGCATGCCTACCCTTTTTTTTTTCTTTTCCAATTTTCTTCTTATTGATGTCATGAAAAGAAGCCGAAAAAAAGGCCAATTGGGTTGAAATGGGATGTGATGTGATCTCCAAAGTGGGTGTCAGCTCAGAATCCCCCAAACCTCATGAAAGTTGGCAAGTTCGGTCATATAAAGAATTTCATGGCTTTGTTGTACATAAACATTATAATAATACATACATCTTTATTATTATTCCTCGTAATTTAGAACAAATAAAATTAAATTATGAAATGTAAGCTGGTCCAATCCCTAAAGACTAATATGAGATGGGTGGCAATTCTTTCATTCATCCTCTCATCTACTAGTCTGTATGAATACTAATGCCTGAGGTTGACAAATCCAGAGCATTCAAATTCTCCTGTTGTTTTTGCAATCATTTATTGATATATGTATATGCCATATAAAATGGGGTGTGGTTCTGGGAGGATGTGGCAGTTTTTTCCTCCACATTGAATTTTGATCGCATGAATTAAATGTTTAATATTTTATTAATAGATTCAGTATCATAGATAGAGCATCTCTCACTCCTATTCATAAATATCAAATATTTAATTGGATAGATCCAGCTGTATGTTATTTTACTAGTGATCATTTACTCACCAAAAAAGGTAGAGAAAAAAAAAAAAAAAAAACAGAGACAGTTAAACACTCACACATAAGTATATGAATTTATTATTATTATTATTATGTTTGAATCAAAAGAATATCCATTCCAAAAAACAATAAATATTTACAAATGTGATATTTAACTAGTATTTTGTTTTTCTTAGTACTAATTAAAAAATTAGACGAAAAAAGGGATTCAATTTTGATAATCACCCTTTTAAGGTAAGATAACAATTAGTAAATGTTGGTGCTAAGCTAAGATTAGAGGCAAGAATTTGAAATCACAAGTAAGAGGTCAATTAGAAGCAAAAGTTGAAATTGTTTTTGATATTTAAATGCCAACTCTCAACTTAGTGAAATAAAGGATAAGAGGAATAACTCATAAATAAAAATGAGAGAAGCTCTATGCTATTTCACGAGATAATCAATAGTGATGTAATGAAAGTGAGGGCACAACAATAATGATAAAATGTCTCGAATAATCAACTCGTTTGTCAACCAAAGTCTCACGAAATCTTCCAAAGAGAAAAAATTGCTCCTCTCACCTAGAAGGAGTAAAGAGTATTTATTCATGAAAGATTAATGACTTGTTAGGCTAGCATTAGTAAGGTGTGCTCAAATCAATTTGTCATGTCAGCTTAAACCAAATGATCAAAATAGTCTGATCCAATTGTGAGTCATTCTTTTATGGTAAAAAATAATTATACTCTGATTACCAAAAAATGCTATTAATAGTCTGTCCCTCCAACAAACAATCTAAAGATATAGACGAGAGTTAAGTTAAGTTGCTCAACCTATTTTGGGTTTAGTCGATCTATTGAACTTTAAGTTACATCCAATTTGAAACTTTGAGTGTCTGTTTTATTGTCCAACCTTTTGGTGACACGAGTGGCCTAAGGTTTCGATATAATGAGATATCACTTTATGATTCATCTGATGTGGATGACTATTAGGATTTTAATAGTGGTTTGACTTTGTTTACTCAATATTTAACTCTAGCTAAGGTTAATCGGAGGTTGACTTAGGAGCCTTTAGGTGGTCTAAGTTAATTACCCAATAACTGAGGTGACACTTGATGGTTTTTATAATAAGATTCTAAATTCATTTATACTTAAAAGATTTACACCAAAATAAATCTATATCGAGGTGAATATATACCGAGATTATTTATACTGAGGTAAATTTATACCAAAATGATTTACATCGAGGTTAATTTGGTGAATCTGTGACGAGGTTATTTACAATAAAGTGAATATATGTCAATTTGATTTATATCGAGGTTAATCTATCTCGAGGTGAATTTCACCGAGATGAGCTCTTTTGCTGACCTGAGTTGAGCTTAATGTCAAGCTGAGTTCATTATTGAGCTAAGCCGTTATGAAGACAAATTATCAAACTAAGCCTTTTTTAAGACATTTTTCCTAAGCTAAGCCTTTACAAAAGAAATTTGACTAAGCTAATCATTTATTAAGAAATTTAACCAAACTAATCATTTATAAAGACAATTTGATCGAGCTGAGCTCTCTTAGCCTAATTTATCTATTTTGGCTAAGCTAATATTTTATTAAAAAAATATGACAAAGCTAATATTTTATTAATGAAATTTGACTGAATTAATCTCTTTTGGTCGAACTAATTCTAAAAAATATTGAGAAGCTAATATTTTATCAATGAAATTAGGCCTGACTAAGCTCTTTTGGCTGAGATAATACTTTATTAAGGAAATATGACAAAGCTAATATTTTATCAATAAAATTTGGTTGAGATGAGTTTTTTTTGCCAAATTAATCCTTTATTAAGGAAATATGATGAAACTAATATTTTATCAATGACATTTGATCAAACTAAGCTCTTTTAACCAAGCTAATTATTTATTTAGGAATATGATGAAATTAAATCTTATCAATGAAATTTGGTTGAACTAAGCTCTTTTAGTCAAGTTAATCACTTTTGGATGAGCTCATCCTTTAATAAGAAAATTTGGAAAAGTTGATGCTTTATCAAAGAAAATTGACTAAGTTAAACTCTTTGAGTTGAATTAAACTTTTATAAAGATAATTTATTGAGCTGATATCTTATGTCGTGATAATTTTTTATGAAGGTAACTTATTAAGATAAACTCTTTTATTAAACTAAATCTTTATTAAAATAATTTATTTAGATGTAACTCTTTAGCCTAACCTAACTTTTATACTTTTATTACCAAAAAAATTCCCCTAATAGTAAACTAAACTCTGAACTATTATGCAAGTTGTAATTGATAACGATGATATTGTTAATATTATTATTATTCAAAAGCTATGATCCTTTTCCACAACAAATTCTGCTCAAATAAAAATGGAAATCGATTATAAGTATCAAAGATTTTTATCAGTAAAAAGGAAAACTAGAATTTTTGGTAAAAGGCAATATGTTTTAGAACAGTAAGATTAAAAATCTTGCACAAAAGTCAAGACTGTGATAATTAATTCCATTCATTTCGTTCCCTATCAACTTGACTTGCATCCACTAAAAGGAAGTTCCTTGAGGACAAGTGGCTAAAAACCCATGAAAGATGGTGACTTCTTCTTTCACGATCCAACAAAGTAGAGGGCAACAGATCCCGTTTAGATGTTGACACAATGACATGGAAAAGAATGGATCAACTGATATATCTCCTTCTCTCTTTCGTAATTTCGCATCGTTATTATTATTATTATTTAACACATAACAACTTTTGAATTGATAAACTATTTCATTGTTAGATGTATTCATGTTTAGTGGTTAAAATATCAATTATGAAGCTTTGTTTCTTAGATTTTGATATAAAAAAAATGCTATTCTGCAGGGTGATTTCTTGCTGTTTAAAGTTGCTAAATCTGAAGATAACATACATATTATTAATATTAGCATATCATATGCTTTAATTTATTGTTTGTTACTACCATTTTCATCTTTTTGTACTAATATATTATTGTGTTTTCTGTTGGTGATATCATAAATTGCTCTATGTTGTTATTAAAGTTCGGCAAAGCGCTCATATTTTATCAATTAAGAGTTTCAAGATTTGGTGGTGTTGAGTAATTGGATAGTCTAGCTTGAATGAAAACCTATATTTTTACTGCTAATTCTATTTATTTAAGATTTTTTTGACTTAAAAGATGTTTGGAGTTCTCTTTGTTATTCCAAGGTGACTTGGTTTCATATATACAATTTTTTTGCTTTAAAATCTTATGGTTGAGAAGTGTTTGTCAAAATGACTATTTGAAGATACTGCAAGAATTTAATTATTCACATGACAGTAATGTTAAGCATGGGGCTGCGATTTGCGATGGATAATGATATTGGATTTATTGGTTGAATTAGACGTGTTAATTCGTGTACACAATTTCAATTATATTTTTAAAATTTTTTTTATAGGTTCCGAAGATTGTAATATACTAACAACATTAACATAATAGCCTATTCTGAAATAATTTTCATGAATTTAATAATTTTATTTTTGACAACTATAACGTACTGGCAATTATAAAAAAATACATGTTATTCTATTAAACTATTGCACCGCGTAACTGCAGACCGGCTGATACATTAATAGTAACTTCAATAGCTCTGCTAATGCTTTCATGGTTGTTGCCAATGTTATCATTCAAAGGCCAAAAGCAGTATCATACTTTCGGTAAATTTTCTGTGCTGCCTTACTGCAGCCAGCAAGCTGGGATACTGACAATGGAATATTAGCTTAGTGTAGAAACTGTTGGGTTTTCATCCACACTTGTCCTTTTTATCTCTTGAGCCTATGGATCATTGGATGTAACTGGATCTTCATTAAAGTGTAATTAAATTTCAACCATCGATAGAATTCAAATACCAATTTTAATAAAATTCATTCGATATAAATTTTTTAATGAAATATTTTTTTTCAATCAAAATTACATAATTTTTATTAAATCAATCTCATTGTTCATGGAGGCTCGCTCCAATCCAAACATTTCCAGGTCAATTCCCAGAATTGAAGAAAAAAGTTCAATCTTTTTCTTTTATTTCCACCAAAGCTATATATATATATAAATAAATACACTGACCCTTTTTGCTTCACCCTGAAAATACAAAAGATTCCCAACCAAGAAAAAGATAAGAAAAATATCCTAAACAGAGGTAACTGAAACTTGAAATTAAAATAATGGAGGGCAGGAATGGGATTGGTGCCTTGGTGGTCTGGAGGGTCTCAGTCTCACCAGACAGGAAGGATCACCCAGCTCAGGATAGAACACTGAGAGCCACCGAGATAGGATTTGGTTAGGACCAAACTGAGTTGACTATAACTCATTGAATCAATTCACGAACTCAGTGGGAAATAGCTGTTGTTTTGTTGGCGAGTTTCCAAGCAGAAGTTGCAATGAGGGAGCGTTTGTGCCAACCCAGCATCAAACACCCATTATTCTCCTCCACCCCATACCCATCTCCGCCAGCAAACAAGGCCAACAACATACTGGCTTGCTTGAAAGCATTGGAACCCAAATGAACAGGCGCAAACCCGGCCGAACTCAACCGGTTTCTCCACTGAGTCAACGTCTCGTGTCTCTCAACTCGGTCTACCCCTTCACAAGCCACCACGTTACAAATCTGTTTCCCCAAATACACCTCCGACATAACGTTATCCTGAGTACTCACCGACCCCTCCAATGAGTCAAAAAGCGTCGAGTAATAATGTAATGATTCAGTGAACCGGTCTAAAAATATCGGACCGTTATGGTTCGCTTCCTGCTCAACGATAGTAACAATCTCAGGCTTCATTTGTTTCACCACCGATAAAACTTTGTCAATAGCGCCAGGTTGAGCCAACAATTTATGCAACTCGAAAACTGAGTTAACGGCGACGGCTTCAACTTCACCCGGTCTAAGATCTAGCATTGAAGCATCCAAATCGGCCAAAGAATTAGCCACGACCCGACGGTATTCAAACTCAACGTGAATCGTTTCAGCTAATTGCGCTAGCTTCCAACCAACTTCTTTCAAGTGATCCGAATTATCATGAGTGGGAGGACCAATCCCAGTTAACATAAAAGCCGGTGGACCACCAACTCTTAACGCCAAAGCTTGCATCAAAGCAGGCCATTGCATTCCTTGGTTCATCGAAAAATCGATAACATGAACTCTTTTTTTGCCTTCAAAAGCTTCAAGAATAGCTTGGTTAGCTGTGAAATGGGCGAACTTCAGATAAGGGCAGGTCTCGTAAAAGTGCATGTGAAGAACATCTGATAAAGACTGGTCGATTGGGTTTCGAGGATATAATCTATAAATCCTACGAGCTAACGCTTCAGCAAAATATGTAGCCACTTTTCTCATAGCTCCAGCTTGAGAAATCGCTAAAAACCCAATCTGTTTCACCAACGCTTCCGCGAGATTAAGCTTGTTTTGCTGGACAGCTTCTGCACATGCCATCAGAGCATGGACGAGCCGGATTCCGTTTTCCTGTGAGTCAACCAGAACTACAGGAAGAGATGACTCGGTCGGAATTCCATAGGAAGCGGCAGGAGCTAAGATATCCGAGTGCGACCCGGATGTGGATTTCAAACGTTTTTCGGATTTAATGTTGTTTTGAGTGGAAGAAGAAGAAGAGGAATCATGGGTTTGGGTTTTCTGAGAGTAAATAGCCTTACCAGGAATTGCTTTGAGATCATAATCTGAACACGAAGCTTCCTCAAAGATTTGTTGCCCTCTTTTCTGATGTTTTTGGTTGTTGTTGAAATCCAACGTCGTCAAAGTTGAAGACTCAGCAGGGCCAAGAAATGAATCGTCCAATATAGCCGACGCCGCCGCCGTCGTTCTAGCAGCGACAACAGGATCAAAAGTGGAAGGAGGGTTAAGCTCAGAAATCATGCTTTCGAGCCAAGTGGACAGATCGGAAGGATTATAATGAACGGTTTCAGAAGCAAGTTGCGAAATCCCATCATCTTCAACATTACACATAACTTCCTCTAACTGCTCAATCTTCTGAGCAACATCTGCCATGTCCGAAGTTTTAACCTTGTAGCCAAGAACCGCCAAAAGCTCATCCATTCCACAGTCTTGTTGGGCGGCTTCTTCCTCCCACATCTTGGCCTTTCCGTTTGTAGAACCACCGCAGACGGAGAAGCTGCCCACGTTCGATGGGTCTGGATTGGGTTGGAGATGATATTGGTCTCTTTTCATGTTTGTTGATTTCTTAATCTTCTTCTTCTCCTTCCTCTGTTTCTCAGTTCAAAATTTTTGGGCTAATTTTTTTTCTCTCTTCGAGGAAATGCTCAAAAACCAAAGAAAAGATATGAAGGGGTGAAGAATTTGAGCATTGGGGATTGGGGGTTTTGCTTGGTTTTTCACTACAACTCCCACTTCACCGTCAGACAAAAAATAAAATAAAAATTAAAGGAATCAAAAGAAAAAAAAAAAACGCTCGTGATGGGGCGCAACTTCCAATGAACTACTAAGGCTAACTACAACAACTACAGCTCAAACAGATAAGATGAAAATATACATTTTTACCCTTTTTCTAATTATTATTGATAATGAAATTTTTTCCATTTTGGTTTTCAGTTTTCAAAAAAATACAGCACAATGTGGCCCAAAATAAAACAAATGCCGTACAACGACTGAGGGTCCTCCTAAAATGTCATCAGCACTTTAATTAATTCTGTTACTTTTTATAAATAAACTTTTTCACAGTTTAATTTATTTACAACTTAATTGCCCTTTAGTTACCAGGTTTAACTACTTACCCTGTCATAGATCCGAAAGTTGCCTCCTCATTTGCATTAAAAAAATAAGCTTACATTATATAAAAAATAAAAAAATTATATTATTTAAATTTTTAATAAAATATATTAATGCCCCTCTATCCTCTCATTTTTTCATTTATTTTGGTAATTAATGGGTTTTACTTAATGTTAAATTTATATATAATATTAAATAAGCACAAGAAAAAAAAGATTTTGATTCGAAATTAAAATTTATATTAAGAGTTAAGTAGTTGATTTGGATTATAAAATATAATTATAATTTACAATTTAGATTGATTTTATAGCCTTAGCTTGTAACTTTAATTGTGATTAAATTAAAAGTAACATACTCTAACAACATATTAGAGACTCTAGAGTTGAAATTTAAAATTATAAAATTTGTGGGCCTACATTGAGTTTATGCTTAATTTATCTATGAAAATAACCATTCTCGAGATATTCTTACATAATTGTTTTTAAAAAAATAGTATTTTGTGGATAGCTTATCAAGATCTTATATGTTTAAAATTAATATCTAATTACACCTTATTATTTGATTTTTTTTCTAAGATCTCTCAATGTTTTGTGTCACTTTGAACCTCGATTATTCTGAAGTTGAGCTGGATCGAATTTTATAAATGAAACAAGTTCTCTCAGCACTTATTTTATTCATTCACAAAATTTAAAATCGAAATTTTACTTTAAAAAAAATTGAGCTTTTTACTATTCAGACTAACAAACGTTGATATTATTTGATTTGATTTGATAATTAATTAAGTTGTATTGAATTTAATTATTATTTTAATGTTAAATATTTTTATGCAAAATAAATGTACAAATCCATCTTATAATCTCTTTTTTCATAATAAAATATATCACAATAATTACAAAGTAGATGTAACTCTAACGTTAGCTGTAAGAGTAATATATATCATATATGATGCTTTTATTATGAATGATCCTAATAAATTATGCTATTGAAAATTTTCTAAATATAATTATCATATGATTTTACTAAAATGCATAACTAGTAAGATTGTTTATGTGAATATATATTTTTAATAGAGTTCATTTTTTAAGTTGAAGGAGATAAAAAATATATATATTTATCATTAAATCAAGAGGCTATAAATATATAATTGATCAACCTCTCCTTCATTTTGGGTTGAGACGTAAGTCAAAATGCAGTTACTATTAGCCACGAGCAATGTGTTTTCTTTGTGAAAATTAGTACATTGAAGCAAACTCTTGGATGGTCAACAAATTCTGGATAGCTCAGCTCAGGCAAAACTTGTGGCTTAAGCCTTGATTTTTGCTCTTCGGGCAATGTAGTTTGACCTGCTTTTTTTTTTTTCAAAAATTAAATAATAAATGGGTTATCAATAGATTTATCAATTTATATATTCATATCATATAAAATATTAAAATTTATATATTTATATAATATTTTATATTAAAATGACATATCATAATTTATATTTAAGTAAAAATAAAATATAATTTTTTATTTTATTAAATTTATATATAATTATTATAATTTTAAATTATTTTATTTTTATATTATATTAATATCATATCATCGAATCATATTTTAAATTATTAAATCTTAACTGTCAATGCCAAGAAGGAACTAAAACATTTGGTGCATGCATGATGGCCGAGACGTAGGGATGCCAACTTCCTCAACCAAAGTAAAATAATAATAATATGATTAAAAAAGCATCTTAATCGTGTTACGTATTCATTATTCTAAACATATAAATTAATAGAAAATTGTTCAATTATTATGTTTAATTTTAACATTTTTGTTCATGTAAAATTTGAATGAATGACTAATAAATTTGTAAATGAATTATATATTAAAAAATATGAAATATTTGTATGATTCAATTTTTAAAAATTCAGATATTATATTAAATTAAATAATTATTTATTCTAAAATTTTAAATTAAAAAATATTATATCCTATTATTATCTTTAATAAGTTTTAACAAAATACATGGTATCAAAAATAAAAAAATACTCTTAGCAAATATGAAGGAAAAAAAGTAGAGAGAGAAGAAGAGGGAAGGCATTGGTTGAAAAATGACTGTGAAGTAGTATTTTACTTGATCACAGAGGGTGGAAGTCAAAGAATCTAATAACCATAGGCCATAGCTCCTCTAGACTTTAATTTTCACTAAGATTTGATGTTCCAAATGATTGGGAAACAAACCAAAGTGAGAAATTCACCAAAGTACAAATAATAATAAAAATTTACTCAATTCAAAACATTATTTATTATCTTATTTGTTCACATTTAATTTTTTTATTCTTAATAATAAAAGACTATTTTCATAGGACAAAACTAATCCACAAAATGTATTTGGAGAAAAAAAATTACAAATTGCTATGTAAAATAGTTAATATTACATGAAGCAAAATTTCACGAATATCACCTAATTTATTAATATATTTAAAAAATAAATAAATTTGTGAAATATAGCAAGCGGGTCGAACCGATTAATAGGTACATGAACATCAAATATCAGTCCTCAGGGATTGCCCCACATGAAGGAGACTAATTGCCCAAAACGGCCCCGCCGTCACCATCAGACGGCCTCCCATCTTGAACGGTTGAAAAACATCCACGTGTATATTTAACGGAATAACAGCATAAGGATTAGGATACACCTTCATCTTAACGCCGTTAGCAACGGCCTTTTGCCTGGTAAGTTCTAATCCTCGTAGTCCGTTAGTCACAGTCAAGAAAAAAAAAAATACTTTTAAGATTGCGAATTGACGTTTTCTCTCACAAGGTGGGCCCTAACGTTTTTTTCCATCTCTTACGCTGATTCAGTGATTCACTGCACGCTGTAGGGTTTTCAGGGAAAAAAAAATGAAAAGGCCTCGAAGAAACTGACACTAGCATGACACCACGTGATTCTTACACGTGTGATGGCCCACAAAATTTGATGGAGAATTATATCTTTGTACTTTTCTTATTTGGTGGTACCCACGCACAAGATCCCTACACGTGTTAAGATTTCATCCTGGAGTGTGGTCCATCTCAAACTTGGACGCCATTCACCCCTTTGCGTGGAGGTTCGGCGTCCCTTCACTGACACCAAATTTGTGATAAACAATAATTCAGATATAAAATATATGAATTTGATTTTCTAAATGCCAATTGGACGAAGAATGAGATTGACTTTCGGTTACATATGAGAGTAATTATTGCAATGATAAAATTAAATTAACAATATAATATATTTGCATGTAAAAATAATAATGACAATTAGATAAATTATATTGATAAAAAAATAGTATTAAAATAACAATGATAATTAGATAAATTATAATATGTATTTCTATAAATTATACTAATAATGTATCTAATTTCATAAGATTAAAACTAATAATGATTAGTATAAATGATTAAATAAATCTTATGTAATTATGAAATTAATTATTATAGCAATAATATTAAAATTAATAATAAAAATATGTATTTAAATATAAATATAATGATAATAATAAAATTAAATATCATAATTAATTGCTCCACCAAAAACAATAAACTACCGTACTTAAATATCTTAAATTCCATTTGCATGAAAAATATGATGGAATTCAAAAGAATTTTATGTAAATGATAAGTATATAATTTATAATCATTATATTAAAATTTTATATAAATTTCATATTTATAAATAATGAATTATTATATAAATTTTTATTATTATTAAATAATTTAAAAATTATGTTAAAAATTTTGACGAAATGCAACCACGTAACAGCTGATTAAAATAAAGGTGTAGGAAGGCGGGAAACTGTAATTACCAAAAATTTACAATTTGAAAAGCGCGTTACAAACACGGATTTCGACTGAGAGTGATGTTGTACAGAAGGACAGCCTGGCGCTGTAAAAATTGGAGAAGCATTGAACCATGAAAGTTAGGGACCCGTTTGAACAGGTGTGGTCTGTAGTACTGAGCTGCAGGTGTGTGGTGTAGAGTGAAAGCCACGCGTTAACATGATTTTCACTTATCTGGCTAAACAAGGGTGGGGTCCTGTCCAGCAAACACTCTGATGGGACCCATAACTTTTTTATGGGTCATCATCATCTTACTTGCTTGATAATTATATACTCTCACACACGGACCTTAAAAATCCGAAAAAAAAGGACTTTTAATGAACAAAGATTACTATAAAGTAGTCTAAGGTTTTTAATGCTATTTTTAGATTTTACGTTCTTAATTGACCACTGCCCTCCTATCTCTTATATAATATTTTTAGATTTTATAATTTTAGATACATATAAAATAAAAAGAGTATGATTTAAAATTTTAATTAAAATAAAATCTATTTTCATATTTAATATGTTAATACATATTACTCCATTCGTTTCAAAATATTTATTATGTATTAATTTTTATAAAATTTTAAAAAAATTTAAACTTTAATATATTTAATATTAAATAAAAAATTTTTATAAATTAAAATTTCATAATTCTTAATGTCAAAAAGTAAAAAAAAATCATAAAACATAAGAATGTTAGATACTAAAAAATATGACATAGTTTTAAGATATTCTAAAAAAGAAAGATAAACAAAAAAATAAAATAAATAAAAATATTTTTTATAGTTTATATTTATTTGATTCGTAAATACACAAATTAAGATTTTTTTTTTTTTTACCATCCTCCTCCTTCTAGTAAGATTATGCTTGTTAAGTAATCAAATTTGGGATGTTTAATTGTTTTGATTTTTTTTTTTTTTCTTATTTAATTTTTTCTTTGTTAAAAATATTCAGTAGATAGATTGCTCCTCAATGCTAGAAATAAGGACAAAATATATTATACCTCACAAATATTTTGTTTAAATTTTATCGACATATTAATATATTGATGAATTTAAACTAAATTTTAAAAGACAACTAATGGGAAAATCAAATTTATATCGTGAATAAAAATAAAATATTATAAAATAATCATTAACTAATTATGCAATTTATTTCTATTACATACAATTTTATATTTTTATTTATCAATAATAATTTTTAGATTTCACTTAATATATTTTATTTTTAAATCGATAAAAACCAATTTATCTACGTCGAAATCAATAAATTTATAAATTTTATTTTTTAATAATCTTTTAATGAATTTAAACTCCAGATAATTAAAAAAAAAAACACTATCTTTACCATTTTATTCAATCATCCATTAATATTCAATCTTGGTTTTACAATACAAAAAATGTAATGGAAACATTCAACTTGTTGTCATCACCATATCAAATAAAGTAAGAAGTCAATATACAATTGATCAACGTAATTTACTTAGATAAGATTTGAATTTAAAATCTAAAAATTTCAAATATGTCTAAGTCTTGAGATGGATTCATCATATTACAAATGGAATTACAGGCCAACAAGGTTTGTATATAGGAAGGTATGAACTTTATGTTAGCAATATTAAATTTAAAAATAAGGTAGTAATTAATAAAGTGGACGTTATTATTAAAAAGGTTAACATGTAATTCAACTTATGAATTATATTAATTTTAATAATTTGATATTTATTAAAAATATTTATAACTAATTATTCAAATATTATTTTTTAAAAATATTTTACAACAATGTTAATTAAAATGATGTTGTGATAAATATTGATAAATCTAAATGTGTTACATATCATGATATATTATTGATTTTTTTATCAACTTATCATTAATAGATTAGTGAATTAAACAAAATATTTAATGAAAATAAATTTCAAATATTTAGAAGTAATTTTTTTTTATAGAAATCAAATCATAAAAAATAATATAATTCGAAAATTAAATCACGTATATACCTTTATTAAATTAAAAAGTCTAAAGAACAAAGATATGAAAAACTATGGCATGATGGTCCATTACACCTGCCTCAGCATAAGGTAGCTTTCATAATTTCACTTTTTATGATTCCGAATATCCTGAGATAGTGACCCACCTCTGCCTCTGCTCGGGTTAGACTTTAGAATTTCCCAAATTCAAAAAAGCCGTTAACAAGATTCAAGTTTGTTCAGGTGTGATTTGGTAGGAAATATGGACTCTCTGAATTCGGCTAAATTTAATCAGATTTTTTTTATAATAAATATTAATTATGATTAAATAATTAATTAATAAAATAAAATCTAAAAACATAATTTTTTAATTTAATTTAATGTTTGAATGAGATTAATATATATGCATAAAATATTAATATATACACATATATTATTTAATCATCTATTTATTTTTTAATATAAATTTAAATATTAAAAATATATAATAATTATTAGGATAGGATGGAACTTGAACCTTAATGTTCAAAATTTTAATTGATTTTTTAATCGGATAAAATTTAAATTTAAATTTAAATTCATTTAATAAATATTTAATTTTTTTTAATTTTGGATGAATTTTCGAATTCGGTCGGTTAATATGACCCTCGGATAGATCTTTCGCATGAATCATGATTCTACCACAAAATTTTTTTTTTTTTCACATTTTTTAAAGTGCAAAAATGGAAAACAATCGCCTTTTTTCAATTACCTTTTAAGTGAAGCGGGTCCCATTTTCCTGAAGATTGGTACGCTTTGGTGTGACAGAGGCAAGTGGTACGCCTCGGGAAAGGTGCAGGGGAAAGAGGTGCCTGCCTCTCTCCGCTTGCAGTTTTTGTCTAACCAGCGCAAGTCTTTGCATGTGACTTGGGTCCCCTCCCCTCAAACTTTCCCTGCCCGTTTCATTTCACCGTACCGATTGAATTCGCTGATAAGTTGATAAATTTTTTTAATCACAATTTTAATAAATTTTATTATTATTTTTAATTTTATTATTCATTACATTTCACCAATTTTGTTTAATTTTTTCATAAAACATACAATTAAAATATTTTTTTAATATTCAAATTATATAAAATATTAATAATATATGTATTTATATTAAAATAAAAAAATATATATATAATTTTTATAAAATTTTAGATCATACCACTTTTTTTTTCATATTTTAAATTACGTATCAAATTTTACGAACGTTCAACCTAAAATACTTCTGTTTTAACTTAAGAAACAAACTGTATGCTGACATTCATCATGGCAAAGGAAAGCACCCCATTCCCCAGCTCTGTAATAATGATCTAAAATTCCTTTGCATCCATTTAAATGGGATCTTTTGCAAGTTGATAAAAATAAAAAATGAAAACAAATGAGAGGTCAATTTTTCCTTGCATGCTTACAGGTACAAAAAACATGGTATCACATGGGGGGAGAGCTGTATAAATCTCATTGGAATTTCCCAAAAATATGGTTCAGTTGTTGTTGGCCTGTAAAATGTCAGCCCTGATTGTCTCCAATTTCTTCTTCAACAATCAACAGCAGTCACAGTCAGCCAGGCCACCCCAGCATGCAAAGCTAGCCTTATTACCATCAATCCTGATTCGTGAATCCTGCCTGCCCTCAGTCTTAAAACCATTGCTACATGCAGAGTGTGTAAATTGCTTCGGGAAACTATCATTTTTGTAGTTTATTTGTCTTTGAAAATTTCAGCTTACATTCTTACTGCCAACTTAATTACAACAATTCTTGTCAAATCACTTTTACTAATATATGATTCTTCTTTTTATATAAATATATTGGAAAATGAAGAATTTGAATCTAAATCTTTTAAATATTATTGATGGTAGTTTTCGTTGTCTTAACTGGAAGGAAAGAAGTAAGGTAGAAGAAAAAGATAACTGTAATCTAAAATAAAAAAGCATAGTTAGAATTTGTGTTCGAACTAAGTGTCTCCCTTTTTTTTCATGTAATAGAGTGTCTCATTCTCTAATTAAAAAAAATTATATTTAATGATTCTAGATAGACGTAACTCACATCTAATGATATTGGTCCAGGGAAAATTGGTGATCCATTGGTTAGTTTCTGACTACTTTGTCAAGCCATTGGTGGGACCTTTGACGAGTTTTTTCCTTGGTGGATGGCTAGTTGTCTTTTTAAAGCAGGTGATATGATTATTTTGGTGTGCTTCGTCTGAGTGACTCGGGATCCAGGACCTTGATAGTTAACCCAGCTCTGATCATTGATTGACTAAATTAGATGTAACAAATATAATGATAAAATAAACCAAATGACATGGTACTAAATAAATTTCTAAAAATTATTAATTCAAGAAAATTTAGGCGATATCAAGTGCATAGGGTTTGGGAATTAAAATAGTATGATAGAAATTTAGAAAAAAAAAATGGATGAAATGAGCTGATTTGGTATTTGTTTGTTTCGACTATCCCAAGGCTGGTCTTAAACTCATATTTTGGCCCAAGTCAGATAATGGGCCTATTCACTTAACTGAGCAATCCAATCGACGAACTAAGCCATTCACATTCGGCTTCAGCCCTATCTAGAGGAGTAATTGCAGCCCAAATCACAGTGTCAAGCTTGACTTTTGGATCCATTAAATAATTTTAGACCATACTTGAGTTCAATTCCACCATTATCAGGCCAGAATTTCAATTTTGTTATATCAATTAATTTGAGTAAGAACTTCCGATTCACATTTAATTATAAATAAAAATTGAAATGATCTAAATAAATATTTATCTTTTATTCATCTATGTATAAAATATTTAAAAATAATTGTAATTGAATATTACAAAATTTAAATTTTATTTAATTAATTACTCAATTATTTTAAATTTGAGCTAAATTTAATAATAAAAAATAGGATAAACTTGATTTTTATGGAATTTGGGTCAAATATAAATAATTCATTAGTAGTTTAATTTGTTTATACCTCTAATTTTACCCATTTAGGATTTTTTTTACCAATTTATCATGGATGGACATTTTTTTTTTGTTTTTATAACATTCTAGAATTGGGGCATGATACGTGAAAATTAGAGTATTAAAAGCACTAATTGGTGGAGTACATAAATTTGCGCTTCTTATTTCATAATAATTTATTTCCATCCCCTTATATTTATTTTATTCGTAGCCCATTTTTCTTTCTTTCCTCGCTCTCTGTATCCAGTGTTTCCAAACAATGGAGTCCGTCGATCTACAGGAAACCGCTATTGCCGCAGCCAACGCCAACTACATTGACCATGGCTGGCAAAAGGTGTCATATCCCAAACGCCAACGCAAGACTAAGCCCAACGTCGATCCCTCAAAGCCTAACCTTGCACGCCCTAACGGAACCCTAACTAACGGCGCACCTAACGTTTTCCATTCCCTCGAGCAACAGTCCGAGGATCGCCGCCGTCGGATCCTCGATGCTCAAAGAGCTTACGCTGCTGCCGCTGCTGCCGCTGATGCCAATGCTAAGGCTAGGCATAATAGATCGGACCTCGATGACGATGATGACGACGATAGCAGTGACCCAGAAGGCGTTAAACCTAACGGAAAGCCAGCAGAGGAGGAAAAGAAGGTGAAGCAAAAGAAGCCGAAGAAGCCTAAGGTTACGGTCGCGGAAGCCGCCGCGAAGATCGATCCCGCTGATCTATTGGCTTATCTCGCTGTGAGCGCAGAACAATGATAAATTTCAAGCCTTTTTTTTTTGTTTCGATAAATTGATCGATCATATAATTTTTTTATTGGTTTGGGGAACTAGGAATTGAATGGGGAACAGCCAGAAATTCAAATACAGAAGTTTGCGAATTATTATGGTAAGGCATTTCAGGAAGTGGTAGCGGGACAATTTCCTTGGATGAAGATGTTCAGGGAAAGTACCATTATCAAGCTTGCTGATGTGAGTTTATGTTTATTGCGTTTACTTTTGTTTTTTTAGTATTGATTTTGTAGCAATTCGAACTTTGAATTTCTGAGCTGGATCTGTGAAAGGAAGGGAATTTTGACGATTTATTTCCTTCAAACAGAATTTCTTGCATGTTTGAATGTTCAAATCGAAAACTTTTATCAAAGCTTGGTTTGTGGATTGGCTGGATAAATGTGTTATCTTATCTTCCGTGATTTTGGTAGGGAATGTGATTGGGATTTTTTTTTTTTAATTTTGTTTGTATGATTGTAAATATTTGGAACTGGTGATTTTTTATTGCACAATCTCAATTTCGTTGTCATGTTTGTTCCACATTTAAACTTATTCTGCACTTGAAAAGGTCAATCTTGTGAAACAATTTGAATTGATTTGCATAGAAGGGAGTGATTTGTATCTTGCAACATTATGTGCATTTATTGTGGCTTTCTGTATATTGTAAGGACGTAGTCAAATGCTTTTCTGGGTTAATGGTTTACAGTATTTCAGTGTATTATAAATTCTCAGAATGGTATTAAAAGGATCCCATATCAGCTACTTGAGATAGGTCTTTGGTTCAAAGGAATTATTTAGCGGTTTGGTTTAGAAACTTTAATTTGAGAGTAAATTATTTTATAAATGTTTATTAACTTAGTATAAGAAATAGGACATAGCTGTTCAAGGTGAACAAGTTTGCCTCATAGAGGTCAGTTTGCATCTAGAGGTTCATAATGTTGCCTAAGTACCATCAAATTGCCTTTCTCTGATGTCAATTAAATTCCTTTTGTTCTCCGGTGATCTTTGCAGAACTTTCTAAATTTTTTTCTGACCAAAGTAGTTAATTTTTCCATTGACAGATACCTCTTTTGCATATTTCTGATGCTGTTTATAAGACATCAGCCGATTGGATCAGCCAACAATCCCTTGAGGCACTTGGTTTCTTCATATTATGGTCTTTAGACATCATTCTTGAGGACTTTGTGGCCCAGCAAGCAAGTGCTAAGGGCTCCAAAAAAGGTGTGCAACAGATGTCATCAAAGTCTAAGGTAACTTTATTGGTGGTTTTGCTGTTAAATTGGTTATTTATTTTGCTTTTTCATCCATTATTTTGATGTTGGATGCTGTTGGGTTAATATTGGTCATTTGCTTTCAGATTTCAGATGTGTATTAGCTTTTACACTTTATACATCATTCTGCCAGATGATGCCTTTGTGGTATAGACTTATAGTAATTTGGGTACAATATAACCCCCTTGAGGTTGTAGTGAAAATACACTTAAACCCCTATTACTTTGGAAAACCACTCTGCCACCCCGCTCTTTAAAAAGCAGTGGTGTTACTATTAATTATTACAAGTTAACTTTGGAAGAACAGACAAGTATACCCTTTGTTATTTATTTCCCCACTTCTTGTTTTACTTCCTTTTCATTTTTAATTACAAAATTGTAAGATTTAGTTAGTCATAAAGTAGTTTGTAAGATTTGATTAGTTTTAAATCTTCTTTAATTACTATCAATTTAAATTTTAATCAAGCTAAATCATAATTCAATTATATATTGATTTTGAGATGAATATATCAAATTGAAAAAAAGTAGGGTGACAAAAAAAAGGTATGAAAGGAGAAACGAGGAAAAAAAGGGAAAAAAGTGAGGATGTGTTTGGTATTTAAAGCTAATTTTGACCAAGAATTAGTGTGAATAAATGGAATCTCAACTTCTGTTACTTTTTTAGGACAAATAGAGGGTTTTTCAAACCAATGGATGGCAAGAGTATTCACAGTAAAACTGCAGGGGAGGTAACAATTATTGTCCCTGCTAATTCTAATCTGCCTTTAGTTGTCATTGGTTGGCTTCCCATGAAATCCCTTCTTTGTGAAGGCTTTGTTCTACTCATTCCCCAATTTGTGAAGAGCAGTATTATTTCCTTGTTAATTTTTCAAAACAATTCTAGATGGGCAGTTTCCCTCACTGATGTGCAAGCTAAGCGGCACTGAGTATCTATTATCTTTTGAAAGTCATGGTGTATGGTAGATCTGGGAGTTAAACCATTTATGCTTTGACAGTTGCTTTTATTAACTATTGGGACCTTGAATTTCATTTCATTCAATGAACTCATGAAACTTTTTCTTCCTTTTTCCTTTTTTTCTTTTCTTTTGCTTTTCTCCATAGAGGCTTTTGTATTATCATGTATAGTTTTGTAAGTTCAAAAGTATCTACCTCTAGCTTTTGTCAAGAAAAGGTATCTACCTCAAATGGGGTTTGATGTAGAAACATGTATTGCAGGTTGGAATATTTGTGGCATTAGCAATGGTTTTGCGGCGTAAACCTGATGCCTTAATTAGTGTATTACCGAAGCTAAGAGAAAATTTGAAATATCAAGGACAAGATAAGCTCCCTGTTATTTTGTGGATGATGCTTCAGGTAAGTGGATGGCAAACAACGTCAGTCTATCTGATGTATGAATATCAAAGGCAGTTTACAAGCTGTTACTCTTTCTTCTTTGATATGTTTCTTATTTCATGCATCAACATTGTACTGTGAAGGCGTCCCAAGGAGATCTTGCTGTGGGCCTGTATTTGTGGGCACATCACCTCTTGCCTACCATTGGTGCCAAAAACTGTAATCCACAGTCCAGGGATCTAATTTTACAGCTAGTGGAATGGTATTAGAGCTTCTATAGTTTGTGCCTTTTTCCTTTCTAGTTCATTTTTAATCTTCTCCCTGAGTTTCAAATGCGTAAGGCTTATTGAATTCCTTTCCTTGGTGAAGGATCTTATCTGCATCAAAAGCTAGGTCAATTTTAGTAAACGCTGCTGTTAGAAAAGGGGAACGTTTGGTACCACCATCTTCGTTTGAGATACTGATGCATGTTACCTTCCCTGCATCTTCAGCTAGAGTAAAGGTAGATTAAGAGTTGACTGTGTGCATTTGCTGGGCCAGTACTTAGATTTAAATAATTATAGTTTCTCACTTTTTGTAAGTTATGTTATTGGTGCAGGCAACTGAACGGTTTGAGGCCATATATCCCACACTAAAGGAAGTGGCTCTTGCTGGTTCTCATGGAAGCAAAGCGATGAGACAAGTATCTCAGCAGATATTCAACTTTGCAGTCAAAGCGGCAGGAGAAAGTATGTCTTGTATTGTAAAACTTTTCTTCTTTGCAGTTCCCTCTCCCTCCTTTCGGCCCCATTCCTTCCCCTACTTTATTGTAATGGTAGTTTCAACGTCAAAGTTTGAGCTTTATCTTCTTTTAAACAGGCTCACGTGAGTTATCCAAAGAAGCAGCTGGAACAGTTTTATGGTGTTTGAACCAGAATGCTGACTGCTACAGGCAGTGGGTGAGCTATTTTACCTTTTACCAAGCACTTTTATAAAGGAGGAATCTTTTAGTTTTTCTTATTTATTCTTATCATCTTTTGCTTGATGTGAACAGGAGAAGGTTTACCTTGACAATCTAGAAGCCAGTGCTGCTGTTCTTAAAAGACTTTCGGAGGAATGGAAAGAACACTCTGTAAAATTTGTTACTCTTGACCCTTTGAGGGAAACCATCAAGAATTTCATGAAGAAGGTACTTACAATTACGCTACAAATGCCATATGATTTTTTGCCAACCATCCATCTAGTTGCTCAACAAAAATGCAATGTTATGACATGAATTTTTATAACAACTTATTAGAGGATTTGTCTGGTCATATGGTAGGCAAATGTTTCTAATCACTTGGGTTGCGAGCTGATTACCATTTTCATTTTTGGCCATTTTCAGAATGAAAATGCAATGAGCAGTGGAGCCGATGCTCCTAGACAGGCACTGCTTCAGGATGCAGACAAGTATTGTAAGCATATATCTGGGAAGCTATCGCGAGGCCATGGGTGCATGAAAACTTTGGCCTTTGTTGTCGTTGCATTTGCTATAGGTGCTGCTGTCGTATCTCCCAACGCGGACGCCTGGGACTGGAACAAGCTGTCTCTAGTTTTCAGCTCTTAACAATCTGCCCATCTAAAGACTTTGTTTTTAGGGACTTCTTTCCTCAGTTAAGAGTTTTTTAATCTAGAGTTTCTAACTGGAAAAGGAAAAAAGAAAAACAAAATGTTTTTTTAATATTGGGGTTTAGGAGTATGGTATCAGAATGCAGGCTGCTGTCTTAAAGAAGCGAAGAAGCCTAAGGAAGAGGAAAATCAGTCACGCAATGAGTTTGTTTACTTACTACAATTACATGTATTTCAGGTAATTTATTCGCATGACTTTTGTAGATTCAAATAATTTGAGGATTAATCTACACGGGGAAAGCCAATAGAATAATCTGGGAAATAATATGGTCTGTTTATACAGGTTCAGGATATTCCTAATTCAAACTGGAATAGGAATACAAAACAAATTACAAAACAACCTCCATTTGTTTTGGCTTCTATGTTTTTCTTGCAAAACAAGTTAATTAAAAAGTTAAATTAACATTACCATAACTGTTTGTTTTGTTGAGTTAATATTTAAACTCAATTATAAAAAAGAAGAAGTCAAACTTCTACATAAGGAGAACTTTGAATTGAATCCATCTCCCTAACTTACAACTGAAAAAATATTAATTTAATCAATATATGGAAATAGAATTTAAATTTCCTCTGGTATTTGGTCCAACAAATATATTTTTAAATACATCTAATACTAGTTCAAAAAAGCATATGCAATTTAATTTAAAGATTATAATAACATATTAATCAATATATTTCCTTGGAGTATTTGAAGTTGAAATAAATCTAAAGATTGCCCAGCTAGATGCTATTTAAATTTTAATTTAATTTACATAACGTATTAAAAAAATAATAATGACAGCATAACAAAAGCGGGGCCGCCAAAAATCCTCCATCCACACGCAAAATTATACCCTGCCCTCCCATATATTTTTTTTTAAAACCGAAATTAGTTATAAAAAAATATACTAATATTCTTTGGAAATTAAAAAGATAAAAAAAAGATAGTCTACCGTTTACAACGATCAGCGTTGAGCGACGCCCATCTCTTTTGGTTACTCTCTCTCTCTCTCTTTCTTTACTCTTTGATCCATTCTATCCCCTGCCGCTCTCTGCGAGAGAGAAATCCCACGCAACACGTAATTACTAAAAAAGAGAAAGGAAATTGAAAATCGAGGAGAGAAGAAGAGGGCGGAGGATTTTTCTTTTTTTATAGAGCGATCTGAGCGGTTAAAGGTTACAAATGGGGACTCTTCAAACATGGAGAAAAGCGTATGGCGCTCTTAAAGATACCACCAAAGTTGGTCTCGCTCATGTCAACAGCGATAACGCGGTAATTTTTTCTCCTCTTCGTTTTTTTTTTTTTTGAAAGATCTCTTTTCTATATTTAGTGTGTAAAATTTTATTGGATTTGGTTTGTTATTTGTTAATTGTTTATAATTAGGATGTGGATGTCGCCATAGTCAAAGCTACCAACCATGTCGAGTGTCCTCCAAAAGAAAGGCATCTTAGAAGTGAGTTCTCTTTTTTTTTTTTTAATTTTAAAAATGTGAATTTACAGATCCAATTTAATATCCTGGGCTTTTCAATTTCTGGGATTGGATACGTATGGATTTGGGTTGATTTTTGTTTTTGGTTGTAGAAATCTTCGTAGCCACATCAGCGGTTCGGCCTCGAGCAGATGTTGCTTATTGCATTCATGCGCTTGCCCGCCGATTGGCCAAGACTCATAATTGGACGGTATTACTTACTGATTTTTTATGACTGGAATCGTACTAATCGGACTTCCGTTCTTTTAATTTGATTTCGAATCAATTTTTAAAAGGGATGATGATGCTTTTGCTTTAAAATGAAGTTGGGGTCTATGATTGATGTGCATTTAACACAAATGTTTCCCATTTTTATCATTTAATATGAATGTTTTGATATGGGTAACGAACTTATATTGTAATTTTTCGTTTTCCATTATTCAATAGGTTGCACTGAAAACACTCATAGTTATCCATAGGGCATTGAGGGAGGGTGATCCTGCTTTTAGAGAAGAACTTTTAAACTTCTCACAAAGAGCCCGTATTCTACAACTTTCTAATTTCAAGGATGATTCTAGCCCTGTTGGTGAGCATTTAATCTCTCCATTTGCATTCGTTGGTTGTATGCGTATGTGTGCATGTGCTTCTCTACGCATCTTCTGGTCACCAGTAATAACTTCGAATTGATTTGCTTACTCCCTCCTCCGCCCCAATTTTTCTATATGTTCTTCAGCATGGGATTGCTCTGCCTGGGTACGTACATATGCTTTGTTTTTGGAAGAAAGACTGGAATGCTTTAGGATTCTGAAGTATGACATTGAAGCTGAGCGTCTCCCAAAACCTGCCCAGGGACAGGATAAGGTATCATTTTTATGGAAGATTTGTTCCATAGATTTACCCATCTGTTTGGTTTTACCCATTGTGATGATGCCCTGCTGCAATTTTTGTTCTCTTTAATGGGCAGGGTTACAGCAGAACGAGGGAGTTGGACAGCGAAGAGTTGTTGGAGCAATTGCCTGCTCTGCAGCAATTGCTTTATCGTCTCATTGGTTGCCGGGTATTTTGTTATATGTTAATCTTGTAGGATTTGAGTTTTGTTTCCTCAACTTGTTTAGATTCTGTTATTTGTTCATATATTTGGAAAGTTAATAGACTTCTCTGCTCTCTTTGCAGCCAGAAGGTGCTGCTATAGGCAACTATGTTATACAGTATGCTTTGGCTATGGTATGTTCATTCTCTCTTTCTTTGTTATGTTTTTGTGCCATTTTATCTGGTCCTGAAATCTTATTGCAAATTATCACTAGTGGTGTCTGGATGTTTTCCTTTGGTTAAATTTATTGTTTGAGTGTCTCTTGAAGAGTTGAATCATATTCTATGTACACATCCAAAATTATTTGTTAAAAAGGTCTTTGCAAATCTATCAAACTGGTGTGGTGATTTTGTTATTAATACACACCATAGGTATAATTCTTATCTAGTCCTAAGTTCTTGTTTTGAATTTTCTACTAGTGGAATCTGGGTTCTGCTTCTGTTAAATTCAAAGTTTAAATGTCTCATTAAACAGTTTTTCATTTTCCATATGCAAGGTGTACAAAGTTCATAGAATTATTTTCCCAGGATAAATCATAACTAACAAACAGGGGGAAAAATCCACAGGACAAGCAGGTTGAGCATCTCAACCTAGTATCTCAAACCATTTTATGGATGAACAGCACAAATCCATAAATATCATCTGATTGCTTTGACTCCCTTGATTCTATGAATACCTAATTTTTCTCCTCTTTTTTCCAAGTTTGACTAAATCTCTTGAAAGTTTCACCATTTAAGCCGGCTGAATTGGTGAAAAGATTATTGCCAAAATCCTAACTTTCTAGTCTTATCCACGAAATATTTATTGTTGGATTATAGTGAGTAAATAGGTCATTTGAATCCATCAAAAATAATGATGACTGCGAACATGTCTGCTAAATTTTTCTACCTATAAAATTATGTTAAGCTGCCTCCTGAAAAGGAGGGAGAGGGGGAGAAAGGCTTGTCAATTTTACAGAAGGTGGAGCCGACATGATTGAAGTTAGAAGTTACGCTTCCTGCGTGTGAAATACACATCAAGCGCTGATGTTAATAAAAGATGTGATTGCAGGACCTCTTAATTTAAAAAATATATATATATATATATATATATTTGATTGATTGTGGTGTCTTCTGTGTATGTTCGGAATTATAGATTTAAGAAACAGATTTTGAAACCCCATTTTGTATCTGCACCTTCTTTCTCTGCACCATAAGAGATCATATGAGAGTTTTCTCTGTGTTTGTTAAAAATAAATGTGGGAAACGTATTTTTATGCTTCCTCCTAAGATTCTCTTTACCTCCCCATAGGAATAAGTAAAATGATGAGAATCTGATAATAGACATACTTTGTTTTTAAATTACTTGGACCTCGCAATATTGCAATTTTCAGGTATTGAAGGAGAGCTTCAAAATATATTGTGCTATTAATGATGGAATTATCAATCTTGTTGACAAGGTAATGTGGTTTTTTATTGTTTATAAAATAATTTCCTAGTTTCAAGCTGATGCTTTTCTCTTTTCTTTTTCACAATAGCTCAAGTTGTGATTTTATTGCAGTTTTTTGAGATGCCAAGGCATGACGCTGTCAAAGCACTTGATGAATACAAGAGAGCTGGTCAGCAGGTGAAGATGTATATTTTTTAAATTACATTTGTGTCCAAAATTATCTAATTAGTTGCTTTTGTGATTATTGGATTGTCTTCTCATTTGGTTAGTAATCGTGGCTGGTTTGATGTCTCAGTGTCAACAATTAACTACAATGGTGGCTTAGTAAAATATATTTAATGTTTATGATGCAGGCTAATAGCCTTTCTGATTTCTATGAAGTTTGCAAAGGATTGGAACTTGCTAGGAACTTCCAGTTTCCTGTTCTCAGGGAGGTATGGGTTCTATGGAGGTGATTTGTTGTTTGAGTTGTCTCCTTCATGACTTGTTTTCTTCAATCATTTTGATGTTAATTCATCACTAACCTTGTTCCAGCCACCGCAATCTTTTCTCACTACCATGGAAGAATACATTAAAGAGGCACCACGGTTGGTTTCTGTTCCAACAGAACCATTGGTTAGTACTCTTTTGACTATATTCTAGATAACACAACATACATAGAAAGAGAGGAGATCCACTTGCACCAGTATAAAACTAATTTAGTTTTACATCCTTTCATAATTTTTTATACAATTTACATTTGTTTAGTCCAGCTGTTGTATTTCATGCTCTATTCATGTAAATCATGCACATCAAATTTCAAGTTAATTAAAAATGTCTAACTATTTGTTTGATATAATAAAATCTCAACCATTAAATATATATTAAAAAAAAAATTATATTCTCAATCAATATGATAAAGATATGGGATTGATTATAGACTTTATGTGCATGGCATGTACGAGTATATTGTTAAATCCAACGGTTGATTTGTCAAAATATTAATTGTACATGATGTTATAAAAGGACGTAAAACTAATTAGTTTTACATTGGTGTAACTTAATCTCTACTCATATACATACATACATACATACATACATATATATATATATATATATTGTATAGCCCGGTGTGGTCTTTGAGTTATGGTGGTTTTTTTTTCCATATTTTAGAACTGCTGACTAGTTTTGTTGTTGTAAGAAATATAATACATTTATATTTTGAGAAGCTATAATATCTTCAATGCATGATTATGACCGCAACAGATTCCAAGACTAGGAACACATACTATGTTACTTTGAAAACCGCGACCGGTAACGGCAGAAAGGTCACTTTTTGATAGTTGGGCCTGATAGGTTAAAGTTGAAGTATCTCATGGAATAAAATCCAGAAGATTGAAAGAGAGAACTGTTTTCTGATAAGATGATTGTAGCTGAGTTGAGAGAAAGTTGTAGATCAGCTGTATTTTAATCAGTCAATTCTTGGCTGTTGTGTGAAAAAAGTTCAAAGACTTTGCTGTGAGAATGTTGAGGAAAATGGGTGACTACATAGGAAAAGAAACATGTTTACTTATGAGAGGATAGAAGTAAAACAAACTGTGGGAAATATGACGAAAGTTGCTAGAGATGGTTTTCTAATCTGAAACAAAAGATGAAAATAATGTTATAAAGAGCGGTATTAAAGAAAAAGGAAGCTAAAATCAAATATGAATGGAGATGGTAAGAGCAAACTTGATTAGTTGTAAATGTAATGGCAAAAGTTTATTTACATAACTTGCTTCCCAATATTAGGATTTGTAAAATGGAAGACCTTTTATACTTTTCCCCAATGGCAAAAGTTTATTTACATAACTTGCTACCCAATATTAGGATTTGTAAAATGGAAGACCTTTTATACTTTTCCCCTTCTTCTCAACTTTTGTGTTTAACCAATAATTCTCAAATTGCCTTGGAATTCAGCCTTGTTTTGAACTGATATATGCTATAGAACTAATGGTGTCATTTTATACAGCTTCAATTAACGTACAGACCTGAGGAAGGTTCTTCTGAAGATAATAAATCATCCAACGATGAACCTGAACCATCTGCGCCTGCTGATGATGTTGCAGTTTCTAGCGTTGAGACTGCTACTCGTCCCCCTCCCCCACCTCAGTCCAACATGGACACTAGTGACTTACTGGTAATGTTTCCTTTGGAGTTTCATAATGTGTCCTATTTGTCTACTTCATTGTTTTGTTGATTGCATTTTGGTGGGTTCAGGGATTGAATTATTCTGCACCTGATGCCTCGGCAATTGAGGAAAGTAATGCTTTAGCTCTAGCCATTGTTCCAACTGAATCTGGTAAACTATGTTTCTTATTCTTTCTTTCTTTTTTCCCCTTTATTTGATGGCTACTATTCTGATCTTTGTTGTTGCCACAGCTAGCTAAGAAGGTGCAATTTTTTAATTTTGCAGGTGCTGCTCCAACATTTAATTCTAGTGCTGGTCAAGCAAAAGATTTTGATCCTACGGGATGGGAACTTGCCCTTGTCACCACACCAAGTACTGATATTTCTGCAGCTACTGAAAGGCAATTGGTATGCCCTTTCTGTGCTTTCACTTCTTATCCCGTTTTCGTATGCATTTTTGTTGTTCGGGAAATATGACAATATACAGTAAAAGGTTTGGGATGATTGAAGGCGAGGATATGGTTGAAGTCTTACCAAGTTATATAAATATGTTATTTTGTACAAAAGGGAGACCTGTTCGCTTTTTTTTTTTTTTTTTTTGAAAACTGCCTAACTAATTCTGGACTTATTTATTTATTTTGAATTTGGGCTTCTTAGTTCTGGTTTTAGTTCTGTGGTCAAGTTTACTTAGCAAGTATCTTCATTTCTTCCAGCATTTTCAGTTTAGATTTTCATTCATCATTCAGTTTTATAGATACCATCCAGGGTAATTGATAGATAGATCTAAATGCCTGAGTGAAAATACATCGAGGACCTTCTGAGCCCCTAGCAAACTATCTTAATTATCTAATTGATTTTGTTTCCAATAATTGTCAGGCTGGTGGTTTGGACTCACTCACTCTCAACAGTTTATACGATGATGCTGCATATAGAGCTTCTCATCAGCCTCTATATGGGATTGCAGCCCCAAATCCATTCGAGGTACAAGACCCATTTGCCATGTCAAATAACATTGCCCCCCCTACAGCAGTTCAAATGGCGGCAATGGCTCAACACCAAAACAATCCTTTTGGTTCTTACCAACCTACCTATCAGCAGCCACTGCAGCAGCAGCATTTGATGATGAGCCCATCGAATCCATTTGGTGATGCAGGGTTTGGGACATTTCCAGTGAACCAAATGGCACCTGCTGCTCAGCCACATGCCAATAATCCATTTGGAAGCACAGGCTTATTGTAATTTTAAATGTAAAGAGTCGATTGGTGCATTTTGTTTGGTGCAGTTGGTTTCGGCGTCTTTTGGAGATGAGTTTCGTGTGTAGGTTCTTTTATTCACAGGATGAATGGCTTTCAGCATCGGTCTTGCATTTGTATGGGTTGTAAAAGTCATCAAGTGAATAGTTAAAGATGTAATAATAACTAGTTGTTACAATTCAGAATACAACAAGAAGTCATTTTGAAAATTTCCCAGCTTTTTGCCTCTTTTACATTAAATCTTGAGTGAGTGACTTAAGGAAATTTTTGAAGAAAAAAATGGTGGGCGTTAAGGGCAACTAAGAATATTTGTCCTTGAACTGAATAGGTTTGGGCTTGGCCGCTTGGGTCATCTTCACTTCACTTAATTGTGTTTATTGTGAACTCAAACGTCACCTGCGCAGTTAATTTAAATGAAAATTTCATATGTAGATGATGTCTAAACGTGAATTCATAGTACAAAATTAACTCCAAGTACAACACCAACCAGGACAGCATTAGCAGTTTAAGGTGAAAATCAGGTCTCAAAAAATGATTGTGATTAATAGCTTAATAGAGAAAGGCATAAGAGGAGCATGCTTTCTTTTTTGTACGTTCTTTTTCCTAACATTATAATAAGAAAGAATTTTTCAAAAAAACAATGGATGGATCCTGGTAAAATAATGTGCTTTGTATGCATGTTTGAGGAAAAACCTTTGCCTCATCTGCCATGCCATGTACTCTTACTTCACATTAAATATATATATTCATACAAGGTAAACCATTATATGGGAATGGAAGGACACAGTCTAAAACCCTCTAATGTTTTTCTTTGTTCTTGATTAATGCCATTTTCATGGCATTTATCATTGGTTAACATATATCATTTGTATTTTTTTTTCTTTTTTCTCTTTGAGAGAGAGAGAGAAGGAGTAAAAGATTCAAAGAATTTTCAAAAGGCAAAGGAGGTCGGAGGAAAAACGCAAAAGGTGAGAGGAGAGGAGGAAAGGGGAGGCAGAAAAGCAAAAGCAAAAATAAGGGGTCTTCCAATCGCTCTCAAATCACCATCATTGCAATCACTCTCCCCATTTCTCTTTTAATTCTTTCTTCTCTTTTTTTTTTTTTTTTTCACCTTTACTTGTACTTCTCGTTGGTTTCCTATTGCTTTATACCAGCTAGTTTTCATTTGTTAGTTGCTTTTCTCATGCAGTAAATCATAGAATCCAAAGTTTCCAATAGAAAACACTGTACCTATATTCTCAGGGATGGGTTGTGAAAAAGATTCAGAAATAAAGCTCAAAATCTTGCAGAAACCCAAGACTGATGAATTTTTCTCGCCATAAATGCCTGTATACATTAAATAACAAAAATGCAAGAGGGACCAATCTAATCTTCTCCTGGGATGGCCATATCCTGGATGCCAGGAATGGTCAAGCTAGGTCCATAAAGAAGGGAAAAAAGTTTGCCTCGTGATTTTCAGTGACAGTACTTGGGTTTTGTGCAATCGAGTTTCTTTTATTGTTAATTTGTAACAATTTCTTGGAACCCATTTTTCTGTTTAAATAGGTCCCAAAATCAACTACTTTCTTCTCTTCCAAAGATATATCCAGGTCAAGCCCCTCCCATTGATTTTTTTTTTTTTGTTTAATGTTCAACAGTTTTAATCTCCCTCAATTTGTCAGGAACACAAAATGCTTGCATTTGCTCCCAGTATTTTTCTTTTTCCATGTAGGGCATGCTGTGGCACATAAGTGGGCCCTCAATGCACTATAAAATGTGGGTGCTTTTCTTTTTCCCGCCATAGATTACTTCTTTCAATAAAAAAAAAAAAACCTAGATTTCTCATTATTAGAATTGAAAGAGCAAATCAAGACAATAGTTGATATTCCTCCGGCTGCAATTTGTTATATGTACATATATATATATATATAGAGAGAGAGAGAGAGAGCATTCAACATATACTATATTGGAGGAAACTCATCGAAAGAGTTATGCCAACATGTAAGAACAATTCTATCCATGAATTAAAAAAACCCCTGAATTAAAAAAGGCCAAAGGAAGACCATGTTATTGATATAATTTTTAGCAATATATCCAACCAAGTGTGGTCCAGGAGCTGAAGTAGTGTTGTTGGCGTATAGGACAGAAGGCCAGAAATCAAGATTCCTCTGTTTTCTTCACATGATTTAACCTGGCCTGGCCTTCATTAAAAGGTACATTTTTTTTAATCAATTGCTAAAAGGAACTGTTGCTCGAAATGAAAGAAGATTTGTAAGATATTTTTACCCACTGCCTTGGGTACTGAAATCTAAGTAACAAAATTTCTTCACTCTTCCTTCTCTCTTCCTATCAAAGATTTTAAAGAATTTGATTCTACAAATTAATTTGGTTGGAAATTCTGTTTTTGTTATTCTAATTAATTAGCTTCTTCGATCTATTATTTTCAATTATTAAAATAATTAAAATTTAAATCTCGATCATTAAAATATAATTAATTAATTTAAAACATATATTTTTATAATAAATCAAGATTTTTATTATGCAATAGCCATTGACCTTTTAAATATTGGTTTTAGAATTGTTCAGTACAAGATCAAAATACAAAATCGATCAATTTGTATTCATAAACATCATCGATAATATTGTATTCATATAGATTACAAACAAACTTCAGCATTGTCCCTTGAGGTAAATTTTGGCCATTAAAATAGCTACAAAAAGGACAAGATGGTAGAACAAAATTTTCAAATTTAGCTATTCACATTTGCATTTTCCATCCTGACTTTTTCCTTGTTTTTTTATGTCAACGGTATCTCATTAATTATATATATATATACATATATATATATATAAATGTAGACATTTAATAGTTGAAAGGGTATAGTGATATTTTTTTCATGTTAAAAATTTTTATCAGATAATCAAAGGTAATTTTGTTATTTATGTTAACATGATATCTCATATTAGTATGATATTTTCAATGTCATATTAATTCGGTAGTATTTTTTTTTCTAAATTTTTTAATATCTAATAATGATTTTGGATCTCGACTAATCCAAAGTCGAGTTGAGTAGAATTTCATAAAAGAGCAAGCTTTTTTAAACTTGTTTTTTTTATTCACAAGTTTCAAAATTAAGATTTTACTTTAAAAAAATCGAACTCCTTATCACTTGAACCAACAAGTGTTGATTCTCGATAGTATCTTTACTCTCCTTTAATGATTCTTTGTCATTTATTTATAAATATAAAAATTCATATATCATGAAAATAACACACATCGCTTCAACTTCTTCATGTTACTCTCTTTTTGACCTTATTTTTTTAACTTACACATCAAAATGTAAAATATATTTTTACCTTTATTTTAATCATTTTTTTCTTTTATCTTTTCAAAAATACCATGAAATTAGAGCTCGACACAATTCAATTTGAAATTTTCTCAATTTGAATCCAAGACTTTCCCTTTCATAGAAAAGAGAGAAATGTCCTCAAAAGGATTTTTTTTAGTTCAACATAGAACGAAAATCAACTAAAAAATTAAAAAAAAAAAGTTTCAAATTCACATTCAACAGAAAAATGAGGGAATGAAAGACCCAGAAAAATATTTGAAGGCTAATTAATTAAAGCTTGTGCAGCAGCTAGCACTTGAAAAAAATCCAAGAATTTCTGGTGGAGAAGCAAATAATTCTGTACATTAGAATAGTTAGCAGATTTGGACAGTTCAACCATCGTTTAGCTTATCTCAGATGAAATAGAATCTAATTTGATGCTTCAGCCCCAGAACTATCTCTATTTTGACAGATCAAAGAAATTAACCTTCCTTTCAATTTCCTCCATTTGTCATTAAACAACATTTTCATAAGGCCCTATCTGTTCAACATTCTAATAATACATAACAAAACCAAATATAACAAAAACATTAAATTTTATTAGTAAAGAAATCCAGGAATTGTAAAAGCCGTGTGATATGTTGTTAGAATTTTGGATTTTTAATTTTAGTGATCAAATCCAAGTGCTGAGATCTTAAGTATAAAAAAAAAAAAAAGAAATTGATGTCTTGTAGGATTGAATTTTTAATGACTCATAATCTTTAGACAATTCAAAGGAGAGTGTAAGCTTGGACCCTGAAAATATGCAGGATTTCATGTGAAAATTACGTCTGATTTCTTTCCATTTGCTTTTAATTTTCCAGTTTCCGGACAATGGTCCTGAGAACAGATGTTTAATTTCAACAATGAATGGCAGCTTATTGGATTGCAAAAGTTTGGGGTTACTACAAATTTTCAGATCCCCTTTGTGGGATCACCTTACTGCCCCTTTTGGTCAAAAAAACATTGAAAAGCTCTATCAGAAATTTTAAACAGCGTTCTTCAAAGTTGATCCACATAAACTATCTTCCCTTCACTTTTAAAAGCATATTGGTTTGCTTTAGTTTACGTTTTTCTAATAAGATTTCATTTGAGCTGGATTCCTTCAACATTTAATCTAAAATTTTCTATGTCTGATCATAAAATTTAAAGTAGAAGAGAGGGAACAAAATTATCTTTAATGGTTGAATTACTTGTTGAATTAAACTTAGGATTAGGATTGGGATTTGATGAGTTAAAAGCCAGTGGGAGCAACAAAAGCAAAAGAGTGAAAAAGCAGAGAAGTGAGGTTAAATTCCCTGGAAAAAGAGTAAAAATAAGATGGTAAAATTGGGTAAAAGTTTCTCCATGGTAGAAAAAAATAAAAACACAAAAAGATGAGGGAGGAGCATCTGGCAACCTGGTTTCCTAAATGGGCCCCACACTTTACTTTGAGTGTGGCCCACCAACTCATCATTTATATGGTTGGTGGGCCATTCCATTTTATTTACCCAAACAAAAATTAAAGAATGGAGGGGCACACGGGTTGGCCTAGCTCTACCCTTCCATTAATCCTTTTCAACATAAAAAAAAAGAAAAAAATTATTATCACCCAAACATATGTACATAATTTTTCCTTGACATGAAATCTGCCCTCTTTGTCCAAAAATTAATTTTGTTATGAGATTCTAATGGTTATTTAATTCTATAAAAAATAGTCTTTTTTTAGAAAGGAAGTCTCGAGAATAAAAAATTTTTAAAATATTAAAATATTAAAATTTAAATTTATGAAATATTATTTTTAAAAAAATTATATAAATTAATTGAATTAAATACTTTTTTAATCACTTTTAAAAAGTAATTCTTCCATTTTATCAAATTGTTTAGATGTTATTAATTTTTACAAAGTTTAAAAAATTTTTATTTTAATATATTTAATATTGAAAATTTTAATTTCAAAAAATAAAAAATCATAAAAAATAATTTTAAATATAAAAATAGAATTTGGATGTTAAAAAAAGACATAATTTTATGATACATAAAAAAATAGATAAAAAAATAAAATATTTCACTTACAATCATTATAATACAATTAATGAATCATAATTTAAAATTATACGGAGTTTATAAAAAAATTTATAAATGATGAATCTCTATATAATTATTTATTATGATTAAATAATTTTAATATTATAGTATAAAAAATTATAAATGATATAATTTAAAAAAATGAGACTAAAATCCCTTTATTTACTATGACTTGAAGCTTGAATATTGGTATTTTTTTTAGCGTGTGGGAAATGTTTGTTATTAATTATTTTTTCCGGTAAAATTTATTTGGTTCATTAAATTTTTATTTGTCTCATTCAAGTTATTAAAATTTGTCAAAATATATCAAAATAGGTTATCCTAATAGATTCCATCTAAATTTTGATAGAAAAATGATATGGCTATCATATTACAAGCCACATCATTTATCACATCAGCTAATTAAACTTATATAATTTGATGAAAGCTTATTAAATTTTTCTTTAGTTTTCAAATGAGAAATTATTTGATATATTGATAGTGAAGTTTTTTAATTTCACAAATAAGATTAAGATGATGATACATATATTTTTTTAAAATTAATTTTTTTAAAAATATAAGAGACATATATCATTATATTAATTTCGTTTGTAAAATTAAAAATTTTACTATCAATATATCAAATAATTTTTTAAAAAGAGAAATTATTAAATACATTAATAGTATATTTTTTAACTTCACAAATAAAATTAAGATAAAGACACATATCTTATTTTTTTAAATTAATTTTTTTAAATTTTTCATTAAAAGATCTCTAAAAATTTGTTAAATATATCGAATTTGATCATTCAATTAAATTTTTAAAAATAAAAATTATTACTTTTATTACATTACTAAGCATAAATATTTAATAAATAATGATTTAATCAAAATTTTAAGACTTTTTCTTTTACTTAAATATTTATTTAATTTTTATTTTGGTTAAAATTTATTACAATGATCAAATTTAGCACACTTAATAAATTTTAATAATTTTTTAATGACAAATTAAACTTCAATGACCTATTTAAAAATTGTATGAAAGTTTAATAACCTTTAGAAACTATACCATTTAGTTAATTAATATGGTAAATGATGTGATTGATAACATAATTATATATTTTTTTGGTCAAAATTTAGATGAAATAGGTTACAACAATTAATTTTAATATACTTAATAAACCTTAGTGATTTATATGAGACAAATTAAAATTAAATGAACCAAATATGGTAATAAGTTAAATTTAACCTATTTTCCTCAGTTTTCAGTCATCTTTGCCTGTCATTCCAATTCAAAGGTCCTTTCCTAGTTCAAATAAAACCACTTCCCCATCTGCATCCCCTCTTCTGTTCTTCTATACTCTCCCCCTCTCTTCTCTCTCTAATTGAAAGCCATTTTAATTTTCTTCTTTTCAATCAACAGTTTTTCTCCTCCTCTCTTTCTCATTGAAAACAAAGCTCTTCCTATTGTTCTTATCTAGCATCTTCCTTTTTTTGTCCCCTTTGACAACTCCTAAAATCTTTCTGTATATAGCAGGAAACAGAGCATCATTTATGGCAGCCAACAAATTTGCTACCATGTTGCAGAAAAATACAAACAGGATCACTCTTATTCTTGTCTACGCATTACTGGAATGGGTTCTGATCATTCTCCTCCTTCTCAATTCTCTGTTTTCTTATCTGATCATCAAATTTGCTGATTACTTTGGTCTTAAAAGGCCCTGCCTTTGGTGTGCTAGGCTCGATCATATATTTGAGCCATCAAAGTACAAGAATTCTTATAGAGATCTTGTATGTGATTATCATGCCAATGAGATTTCTAAGTTGGGTTATTGTTCAAATCATCGAAAATTAGCAGAATCTCAAGCTATGTGTGAGGATTGCTTGTCTTCAACGCGGTCTGATTGTTGTGACTTGTCAGAAAAGTTAGCTTTTTTTCCATGGATGAAGCAGGTTGGTTTGATCCAGGACGGTGGTGATAAAGTGATGGAAAATGGTGAAGAGAATTTCAAGTGTTCATGTTGTGGTGTCATGTTGGAGAAAAAATGGAACTTTCCTTATCTCCTGGTTAAGCCTTCTTGGGAGGTTTTGGATCATCCCCAGAAAGGAAATTTAATTACTGAAGCTGGAGGAGTTGATGATATTGAAGATGAAGGTAATGCTTCAGATGGAATCAGATCAGATAATATGGATAATTATCAGGAAGATGAACAAAGTGTTGAAGAAAACAAGAGACTTGAGATCATTTATGATGGTAATAATGAAGGTTTTAAAGAAAAAGAAATGGGAAACGAGGAAGACTTTTCATGTTTTATTTCTAGTTTCGATTGCAACCAAATGGCTGGTAATGAAGATGATAAAGATGATGTGGTTATAGAGAAAGGTCAATTATCAATGGAAAAAGAAGGAAACTTAAATGTGTCAATGGATGGCCAGGTGTTGACTCAAGTCGTTTTTAGAAAAGAAGAGTCTCCTGGAATTCTATCTAAGCATCTGGAGTTCTACATCGAGGGGGATGACTGTCATTTGATTCCAGTTGAATTGATGCATTCTACTGCTGTAGAAGGCAAAAGAATATACAAGTTTAGAGAGGAAGATCAAGGTATTTCTGGTAAAGGAGATGTTATTTTGGATTTTGATTTGCATCCTGGGACACCGGCAGAATTGTTTGTGGAGAATAGGTGCAGTTCAGGAGAGAAGGTGACACTACTTTCGGCCCATGAGAGTGAGGATGAAACCAGTGTTGCAGTAGTTGAATCAGTGGCGTCCAATGAGAAGAAGGAGAGCATTTCAACACATGCAGGAGGGGAAGATTTGATGGAGGAAGATGAGAAAGTTGCTACTACTCAAGCCACTCTGACCCCTTTGAAAGAGGCTGATGATGTTCAAGAAAATGCGGCTACAGGAGAGGGGGAAATGGATTTAGATGTTAATCAAGGTACTTGTTTAATCCAATTTAATTTAAATTTTACCTAATGCCTACTGTTGAATTATTAAGATTAAAAGTTTGAACAATTTGTCAATTTTATGCAGCTTCTGATGAGCAAAATGATGAAATTGAAGCAGAAATCTCAATAGGGACAGATATTCCTGATCATGAACCAATTGAGGATATCCAAATGCAACATTTGTATGAATGCACGCAAGTAGATCCCCCCACCAGTTCTATTCAATTGTATGCAGATGCAGATCATGGTAAGGCTTAATTTCAAATTTAGAATTGTCTTTGACTTTTAACATTTTATTTGATGTGTTAATCTTGGATTCCTTTATATTAGGCTCCAAGAATGCTGAGGAAGAAACGATACAGTTTAAAACTATAACAGTTGAGACATGTGACCAAGGAATAAAAAACCATTTATCACTATCTTCAGAGTTCATTGAGAATGAGGAAGATAAGGTTCCTGATACACCCACTTCTATAGACAGTCTCCACCTGTTGCACAAGAAGTTGCTATTGCTTGACAGGAAAGAATCAGGAACAGAAGATTCATTGGATGGAAGTGTTCTCAGTGACATTGAGGGTGCTGATGGGGTACTAACTGTCGAGAAGTTGAAATCAGCATTAAAAGCTGAACGGAAGGCTTTAAATTCTTTGTATATAGAACTTGAGGAGGAGAGGAGTGCTTCTGCTGTAGCAGCAAACCAGACAATGGCAATGATAAATAGGCTTCAAGAGGAAAAGGCAGCAATGCAGATGGAAGCCTTGCAGTATCAGAGGATGATGGAAGAACAATCTGAGTATGACCAGGAAGCTTTGCAGCTTCTAAATGAACTTATGAACAAAAGGGAAAAAGAGAAGGCGGAGCTTGAAAAAGAGCTGGAGATATATCGCAGGAAGCTGCTGGATTATGAGTCCAAAGAGAAACTGATAATGCTGAGAAGAAGGAAAGATGATGGCACTAGGAGCGCAACTTCTGCATCTTGCAGCAATGCTGACGATAGTGATGGAGTATCAGTTGATTTGAATCATGAACCAACGGAAGAAGATAGCTTCGACAACCATCAAGAGGACAGCAACCAGAATACCCCTGCTGATGCAGTTTTGTATTTGGAGGAGTCATTGGCTAACTTCGAGGAAGAGAGGCTATCAATTCTGGAGCAGCTCAAAGTTTTGGAGGAGAAATTGGTTTCATTGAATGATGAAGAGGAACAACATTTTGAGGATGTGAAATCAATTGAGTATTTGTATGAAGAGAATGGTAGTGGCTTCTATGAGAGTTCTGATTTCAGCTATGAAAGAAATGGGCTTGCCAATGGTCACTTCAAGGGAGTGAACGGGAAACGTCTGCAAGAGAAAAAATTCATGGCTGCAAAGGCAAAGAGACTTCTCCCACTTTTTGATACCACTGATGTAGAAATTGAAGATGGGATATTGAACGGACAAGAAAATGGCATTGATTCTGTTGCCTTGCAACATACCTCACCAGCCTACTCTGAACTAGAGAGCATTAAGCTTGCAATTGAAGAAGAAGTGGATCATGTTTATGAGAGACTACAAGCACTTGAGGCAGATAGGGAATTTCTAAAGCATTGTATCAGCTCCTTAAGGAAAGGAGATAAAGGAATCTATCTCCTTCAAGAGATTTTACAACATCTTCGTGATTTGAAGAGTGTGGAACTACGAGCAAGGAGTATTGGAGATGCTGCTATATAGTTGCACTCGGCAGAATACACTTAGAAGGCTAATGGTAATTCTTAATCTGCTGTAATTTGTATTCATATCATAGAGTTGTATTTTCTTGTTACTTCTACCTTTCATTTGTAATGGTACTTATTGCTTTATTGATTTTATGTTCTTGATGAATGTAGAATGCTCAATTGGAGTTGCTTAACCGTTGCAAATAAAAGAAACACCAACTTGGGCAATGGCCAACGTACAGGCGGCAATACAATTCCACATTTCCAACAATTTTCAATCGGGAAGTCCCTTAATGGAGAGGGAAGCTCCTGCTGTGGTCTGTTTGGTGATCTTGGTGGGACTGAAAACTGAAAGTCTGTCATTTTCCTTTTGCATTTCCGGGTTTCAGTGTCCAAGTAATTCCAAAATTTTTGTGGGTTCAGCGTTACATCACCTTTTTGAGGAAAAGGAGGATGGTGAGTATATGTGTTTGCAAGCTAGTGAGGTGAAAGCCAAGCTGTCATTTTGTATGTCGTGAGAAAGGACCTGGCCTGCAGAGCTGAAGCGATCCAACAAAGATTCCTGTGCCAGATGCATAGCATTAGTTTATTCAGACAGAACTCGGAGGAGGCTCTTTTTATCATTTTCTTTTATACTCTTTCCAGGGAAGGGAAAAAAGGGGTAACTAACCCCATTTTCCTTCTCATCTTTGGCATCATTTTTCATCATCTGGTGGGTCTGTCTATTATTTTTAGGGGCAAAGTTGAGTTACTTGGCATACTTCATGCATCCATGATCCATCTGTAAGTGTATAATGTAAGTGTTTGTTTATACTGTTTTGGAGCTCTTTTTTTTTTTGTATCTACATGTTCTTTTTTCTGAAGTCCATGACTGAGGTTGTCAGGTAGATGAACCAAAACAAAAGAATAAAACAACAGTGAAGTATTTTGTTCAGAATAAGAAGCAAAGATTGCTTTTGATTTTGCTTTAAGCATAAAACAACACCTAACATGCCAACAACAATAGTTTTTCAATAAAATACTCGACGCAATCAATCAGAAAAACAGAACCCGGTTGGTCTCACAGCTAAAAATATATTCTATTAGCTTAAGGGTACTGTTCATCATGACGTAGGCTTTCGAAATGCACATTCTTTAAAAAAAAAAACACATATATTATGTTACAAAAGAAGCACTGCAATTTTTTTTTTGCAAAAGATGTTATAGCCTAAAAAAGAGTTTATAAATATTGAAACTGCTAGAGATTTTTAAAATAAAATATAACAAATAATTTCACGTTAAAAAATAAAAAATAAATATAAATAAGTCTGTTCAAAATATAGATAAGTCTATTTAAAATGAATAGTTTAAACTGTTTAAAAATAAATAATTTTATTTATTCAAAATAGACAATTATATATGTAGAAAATGACACTTATTTGTTTGTAAAAAACTCTTTTAATTTTTTGAAAATATACAGAAATAATTCTTGAAACTCTTCATCTTTTTTCAAACTCCATATCTTTTTTATAGAAGTTCAATGATCTTGTGATACACTAGTGATTGTTCGATGAATTAATTTTGTCAGTACAAAATGCAGTTAATCATTGTGCATTATTGTATTCTCAAGATTTATTAACTGTAAACTTTTTGTATACCAACTAAATAAATAATATGGTGAGGCAAATAAAACCTTAAAAAAAGTGATATTGTTATGCGTCTTAAAGCCTTTCTTTAAAATTTTAGATTTATCAAAAGCAATAATTCCAGTTTTTTAATGTTTGCTCTATCAATCTTAAGGTTTTATTTGATTCAACAACGGCTACTGAAACAATGCTCAGGGTATTAGTTTCTAGTTTTGTCAAATTAGATTGTTTTGATGGTGATAATTTTTTAAGATGGCAGAAAAAGATGCATTTCTTGCTTTCAACCTTGAAAATTGTATATGTTCTAACTACTCTCACGCTAGAAGAAAATGAAATAAAAGAATCTATTGCTGCAACAAGAGAGAGGTAAAAATGGGATAATGCAGACTACATGTGTAAAGGTTAGGAGTGTAATTGAGCCGAGTCAAACCGATACAGTGAAAGCTCGAGCTAGAGCTCGAGCTTGACTCTCAACTCGCGGTTCGATACTCGACTCAAACTCGATTAAGTTTCATTTTCTTAGTTCAAACTCGATTCGTGATCAAAATCGAACTACTCGAACTTGCTCGATTAAGCTCGACTAATATATAAAAATAAGCTCGATTCGTATACTCGATAAGAATTCGGTTATTTGTTTTTAAGCTCGAACTCGAATTTGAGATATTTTAGTAATTAAAATAATAAAAATATATTTAAATATAAAAATTCAATTAGGCTCAGGAGCTACTTAAATTGGATATAAGAATACTCGACTCGACTCGATCAATGAGTTGAGCTATTCGAGCTCGAGCTCGACTTGATAATAATCAAATCGATTTCGAATTTTATTCGAATCGAACCTGAGTAGCTTGTCAGTACTAATGTATCATTTACACTTTTAGTAAAGGCCATATTTTGAACAATTTATCTGACAGCTTATTTGATACATACCAAAACAAAGCTACTGCAAATGAGTTATAGGATAACTTGGAGATCAGGTATATGACCGAGGATGAAACAAGGAAAAATTTCTCGTTAGTCATTTCAATAATTATCATATAGTTGATGGATGTTTTGTGATTGAACAATTACGTGAAATTGAAAGAATGCTTAATCAGTTTAAACAATATAATATGAGTATGATGAAATGATTATTTTGTCATCTGTAATAGACAAACTTTCTCCATCATGAAAAAACTTCAAAAGAAGTTTGAAACATAAAAAAAAAAAAATCACTCTTGAGGCTATAGCTAATCATCTTTGAATTGAAAAGGAATACAGAAAGTTAGAATATAATTTCAATTCTAGTTATGTCAAAGTTCATGTTTTGGAAGAAAAACGGACTATAAAGCTTGATAAAAAGAAGTTCAAGTTTAAGTAGATTGTTAGTGGACCTAAATTCAAGAAGATAAGAAAGACTAATGTTACCATTATGGTAAGCCAAGACATTTTAAGAAATAATGTTGATTGTTATAGGAGAAAAATGATTCATTATAAAAAGATACTTTTGAAAAATTTTGTTGTCATAATTTTCAAGATCAATATGTTTGAAAATGATGAATCTTGATAGGTTGATTCTGGGTAACAAAATATGTGTGCAATGACAAAAACATATTTACAACATTTAAACCAAATGAATATGATGATGTCCTCTATATAAGAAATTCTTTTACAGTAACAATCAAAGACAAAAAACTGTTGATTTTGAATTCACTTTTAAAAAAACTCTAACTTTAAATGATGTTTATTATGTACTAAAAATTAGAAAGAACTTAATGTTTGAAAGTTTGTTGAACAAGTTTGGTGTAGACATCCCATTTTATCCGGGGTTTAAATTTTTTTTTATTTATCTTTTCAATAAAATAAAAAAGAAATCATAATTGGCTAAAAGATTGGCTAGTGATGAGGTTGAGTTGATCTATTATCCTTAGTTGATAATTCAATTTGAATGGAAATGATTTTTATTCAGTTTCAATTTGGCAAAAAGATAAAAACGATTTGAAGATTTTAATCACAAGTGAAACTCTATTCGAGTGAAGGAATTATATTACAGAAAGACATGGAATCATCAACACAAGAGGACACGACAGTATTGAGAGAAAAATAGAGAGGGAAAAATCTTAGAGAAAACAAATGAGGAAAAAATGATTATAGGAAGTAATCAATTGCAACCACCAGTGCCACCACTATTTTCACCAAGCCAATTCTGCCACCATCTCCATAGTCGAGCCCAGATCCTTCTGCAAAAAGCATACTACAACACAATTCCAGGTTGAGGCCACTAGACCCAATAACAACTCATAAGATAGCCAAAAATCCCTAGTAATCAACAATTATAATCCAAAACACAATTACACAGAAAGTACACTATTGCAAATCTACAGCCTTCAAACACAGTACACAAGAAATAAATCGGGGCAAGCCAGTTAGCTTTTGGAGAGATCGGACGATGGAGGTGGAAACCTAAAGAACGTGGAGAAGCAAACAGTTAGAAAGTCGGTTAGCACCAATGCTCGAAGCAGCAACAATAGCAGTTGGCAATAGTGACATGAGCTTTTGAGATCAAGAAAGGTAGAAGTGTAGAGCAAAGAACGGTGAATAACATATCCAAAAATCAACATGATCGGATGGTGTAAAGACGCTAAAATAGTGGAAGAAAGTTACAGCTTGTAGCTTTAGATCCAGGGCATTTAAGAAGGATTTTCAAAAACCCGAGCCTGTATCCGAGACGAGGAAACGGAGAAGAAGGAACAGTGGAATTTTAGGCTGCATTGGTGACTGGACAATGGTGGTGTGTGGTGACAGGCGACGGCACTATTGTCCAAAATATGAAAAATAGGATTTCTGTTCATTGGCTCTGGTTGAGCTGAGCCAATAGTCTAGCCGCTTCAGGCATCTGTTATCTCTATAGTTAAGCCAGCTTTTTAACCAAACCAAACCGATCATTTTATTTTGTTTTTTTATGATTTTTATTTATTTTTGTTTTATGCTATTATTTTCTTTATTTATTTTGTTTGAAAATATTATGCATGATTAAATTTTATTAAAAAAAAGATAAGAAAATTATAAAAATTATAAAATAAAACTTTAATAAAATTTTGGGAGTAAATGATAATTATACAATGATAAAATTCTTAGAAACTTCGAATAATAAATTTTTTAAGAAATCTTTAGGTAAGAAATTTTTTTCTAAATTTAACCAAAATGAAAAAAAATTTAGATAAAGTTTCAATTGATATTTATTTCTAATTTTTAAAACATAATAAAAAATAAAAATTTAATAAAAATTTATGATTGAATTAACAATTACCAAAGGATGATATTCTTAGAAATTTAAAGGTGATGAACTTCTTTAAATTCAACCTAAAAGGTGAATAGTTTAGATGAAATTTTAATAAAAGTAATTATATTTTTTTAAATAAAAATTTAAAAAATATAACTTAAAAATTTGTGAGAAAATATTTGACAATCATTTCAAGAAGAATCACAATGAATTGAACTTCTATGAGATTTTCAGGTGAATTTTTTTTTCTAAATTAGGTCTAAATGGTGAAAAATTTAGAAATGAAATTTTTATAATAAAAATAAATTTTAAGGATGAAATTCTTAGTAATTGCAAATAGATGATTATTTAAGAAATTTTAGGTGAAAAAATCTTTCTAATTTTAACTCAAATGGTGAAAGAATTATATATATTTTTAATAAAATAAAATTTTAACAAAAAAAATAAATGATTAAGTTTTTTCGATGATAGAGCATTTTTAAAAAAACAAATGAGATTCTTAAATACTCTTGAGGTGAAAAAATATTTTTAAGAATTTTACTAGATTAATAGAGAAATCTTAGAAGTTATTTTCAATATTTAAATATTGAAAATAAAGACCATTAGATTCAAGATGATTGTTATGATAATTTAAAATTAAATGGTACCACCTTACGATGGGCAATTCGAACTTATCCTTTAGAGACCTTTAGTTAAGCTTAAAAGCTCCTTAAAATGATAGATTCTCTTATGTGACCAATTACACCTTAATAAAAGATTGATGGCAATTCTTCCTATTGTGTCTAACTATAGTTCTACGGATCTATATATTATCACATTTGGTTTTAAACATGTATTTGATGCTAATAAATTTATTTTGTCCAAGGGAGAAATTTTTGTTGAAAAAGGGTATATGTATGAGGGAATGCTCAAACTCAATAGTATTAATAAAAATAAGAATGTTGTTTCTACTTACATGGTTGGATCTTCATATTTATGGCATTATAGATTAGGTCATTTAAATTATAAAAAATTGCATGACATGAGTAAGCTTATGTAAATTCTTGAATTTAATCAAGATATTAATAAATGTAATACATGCATGTTGACTAAGATTATCAAAAATCCTTTTCCTAAGGTTTAAAGAAATACAAAGTGACTTGAGTTAATTCACAATGATGTTT